ACCGGTAAATATTAATCTACATGCATGTAACTTACATTGTTTATTATATTCACGGCTTTACTCAAATATCATCAGAAGCTTAATGCAGGCTACGCCTGAACATTAATTAGTGGCTGATAAAGAACAGCATACGAATAAATTTACGCGAGAATGAAAGAGGCCGGTGACGTGACATCAAGTGACTGAGATCATTTATACAAAACAGCGAGTCTCTGCAAGGAATCCTGTAAAAAGTAAAATTGCCGTACGGGCGCGACTATATAAATGTTTACTACCCTTCATTTGTTTCTCATATGGCGTATATCTAAGCGTCTTAGCAACATTGTATATTTAATACTTACAATTAGACTCCTTGGACTCTTCTCCTGAACCAGAACCTTTCAAAGTACATAACAGTCGCTGAGGAGTCATAACCATTTTTGATTCGTGATAAAAGCAACATCTACGAGTTCCGACAATCCGCAGAGTTGGAGTGTACTTTTGTAAGATCGTAACAAACAGTAAAATCACGCATTTAAGCTCACAGCAACCGCCCGGGAGCAACCGCCGGTTCAATAATTTGAAATGAGCAAAGGACAAAGGACGGTTTGCTTATCACGTGCATTTGTCACATCACCGCGGCGCGAAGTCGTGATTTCAGTCGCGCGTGACATCTCAAAAATAATATGCCATGCATGTGCGGAATAGTCTATGAGAGAAAGATAACCATATGTCGGAGTTTATTCAGATCTGAGCGTTGTTTCTTAGTGCAATATATACGAGGTGAGATCTTAGCTTGGATAGTTTGTTTTAATTATTATGAAATTTCAAGGACTTATTTTAGACAAATCTCAATTGACCGCGTGCATCCGGTTCTCGGCCCGCGGCTTCGGCTGTTTGCGAAAAATTTCTACATGAAAATTAAAATGTGATTTTAAGAATTTTCTTTTAAAAAACTTATGGAATGTCCCGTAGCTGCATTAATTGAATCACGGCTAAAATCTAGGCGGAGATTTTCGCAGAGAGCTTGCAGGTAATGAACATTGAGGAACGGATTGATCCTTTATCGGCACACTGTCACAGTTACGTGTTGTCAGTCAAAGCTAAAATCTATTCCTAATTTTCTTCTCTTTTTTCAATTTCTTTTTGATTTGCTGGGAGATTTAATTTTTGGCTCCGCCTCGAGCTTTATTGAGAGAAGAATCCGATCCACAATATGACAGCTTGTTTTGAGTCATTTATGAGTTCGTGACACGATGAAGGCTTAAAAATTAACTTTGTGCAATTATTACTTTTATAGTCTGAGTATAAGTATCCCAAAATACATTACAATATTGCACCTCGATAATAATAAGTAATAAGTACTCTATTTTAAAGTATTTAAAATAAGGTCAGCATTTGATGTCTTTCAGCAGACTTTAAATATTTTATGTACAATCTGTTTTTATAGTCAGAGTGTTGTGTGCCCAAAATACAATTCAAATAGACCTCAAAACAGTGTTTAAGTACCCTATTTAAAAGTATTTGAAATGCGGTCAGTAGTTAAGGACTTAAAACATATTTCAAATAGTCTATTTGAACTCTGTTTGTAACTTTGTGAGTGGATGCGTCTCAAAATACATTTTCGATACAACTCAAAACAGTTTTAAAAGTACCCTATTTAAAAGTATTTAAGATACGGTCAGCATTTAGGTTCTCAAAACATATTTTAAATACTCTATTTGAATTATGTTTGTAACTTTGTGAGTGGATGCGCCTCAAAATACATTGTAGATGCAACTCAAAACAGTGTTAAAGCACCCTATTTAAAAAGTATTTAAAAACCGTCGCATTTAAGCCCTTAAAACATATTTCAAATAGTCTATTTGAACTCTGTTTGTAACAGTGTTAGTGGTTCTATGCCCAAAATACATTTGAAATACCCTATTTTAATCATATTTATTAAACAAAATACATTGTAAATTGATGAGAGAGGTTTTCCTTTTGATGAAATATAATTTAACTACACTTAAGATATATTCCAAACAGGGGCGAAAATTTAAATTTTTTTGTCAAATAGGATTAAAATATAGGAAAATAGTATTCAAATACTGAAAATACATTTTAAACACTTTAAAATCAGTTTCAAAATACATATGGTTTGGTAAGGGGGGGCACCCAACGAGAATATAATTCAAAACCACTGAAACATATCATTGTTGAATGTATTTTCGTATTTAAACGATAGATATAGGCACATTTCTATCCCCTAAAAATTTTTCATCTACTCGGATTTTCTAGCTGAAAGTCTAGTGATCCGAAAATTATAGGGATCAAAGCTTACCTTTTCAAAACTTCCAGCTAGAAAAAAGCCTACCGAAAATTGTAGGTGACCTTTTTAGGGTAAAAATCAGTTAAAAATGAGCAATTATACCATTTTTTAGATGTTTGAAAATCCTAGGAGAGCCAGGCAAGCAAGAAATTGTACAACAAATGTTCCGAAAATTCTAGATCTCAGATCGTCTTCCGAACAGATATTTTCCAAAAACTGACGTTAGGTGCCCCTGAGGTAATTAGGTATTATTTGTGCGTTATTACACCATCCTAAATTCTAAATTCAGGTTAAGTCTTCTTGAGCACTCTTTAGTTAGCTTAACATAATTTCTGACACTGCGGGTGGTATGGACACAGTGTATCTAGACCCTATCTAGTTTGAATTATCCGACATATCTTGAAGTATATTATGCAGAGTATGCAGAGAGCTCTAAGCCCCGCTAAAAGCACCGACGCCCGGGTTGCGTGCAAATGCCTTGAGCTTCCCAGAGTTTTACCATTGAATTTTCTTTGTCCCCTAAGGCCTCATTATTGCACCCGGCCCGATGCGTTTCGGGTCAAGTAGTCCGAGCGAGTTTTCATAGCCTTGACAAACTGGGACAAGTGAGACACTTGGTCTCGCTTTGGTTCGGATCTTTGAGATCTACTTTGGAGAGCTGTTAATCACTCCTCGTTGCGGCTTTCTCGGAAATCAGACAAGAAGAAAAAATGGCAAAGTATTTCTAGAATATATCGTTCGCTTCAGCAGCCGTATTTCGTAAGGTAAGTTGTTCCTTATATCGATCGTCTGTAAACAGTCGTTATTGCAGAATGTTTCGGTGGGAAATCAAAATTGAAAGAGACGTTTTAGTAATTCGAATTATGCGCAGTTTAAATCATTTCTATGTAAACATCGGGCCATACCAAAGGCTTTCAAGCAAATGCAAAGCTATAATATTTACAAAGAACACCTGATTGTGACACTTCAGTTTCAGTTGCACTTCACACGTTCTTGCTGTTTAAATAGTAAAATTTCTCAATAACGTGCAAATAATGTTAACTGCTTTTGTACAAGGTGTCAACGATATTGAGTTATAAAGAAAGAAACGGTAGTGTAGAATCGCTAGGTCAGCGATGATGGCCCAGTACTTCGAAAACAGTTTTAAATTTCGTTTCCTCCCTCGGCAAACTCACCAAATGTTGCCTCGCAATACCCACGTGAGTATGACGTAATCTTTTATTCTTAATATTGATTATAGTAATTTTAATTACTACTTGTATATAACTCAAAATATGACATGAAAATAATTATGATCTAGTGCTCCTTGCAATGAAGCCAAGTGACACTAAATAACTTGAGTACTAAAACGTAAGTAAGACCCCACATTTGGGTAGTGACGTCATGGTCTTGTATTTACAACTCGTGGTCCGACATTGGGTGATTCAGTGTGCAGCTGTTCGTTGTTTGTTCAAGAGGACCTAACAGGTGACGAAGCTTTAATACGATTTCTAGTTTGAAAGGGCAATTAGTGCTCTGGTTTGCTTTATAAATTGCGTTTAAAGCAGCAGTTTTAAATTTTGCGGACCTTTTATTTTAAAATTTATTCAAGAGATTTTGCACCAGCATGTTTTTTTTGCTGCTCGATTTACATTGAGACAGCCTAAAACTCCCATGAGGAATGCAACGAATTTGCGGACCTTTTTGTTTTAAAGACTATCATTATGCCTTTCAAGACACTCTTTGTCCTGTGACACTCTCTCATTAGATCTTTGTATTTTATTCAAGTTTATATTTTTATACCTCTGATACATTCCGCCCCATTCTTGCGCTTTTCACACATTTTTCTTTACACCAATTATTGTTTCTTACGTATATTACCACGCGAAACATTTTTCTTATCCCTGATGACGCTGTTGCTCGGAAGTTAATTATTGTTTATAATTTCAGTAGTCAAAGGCCTCATTTGAACTATCTTTTTCTTTCTAACGTTTTGATGCAATTGAATTTTCCATGAAACATAAGTACTAACATGCTCATTTATACCAACAAAGCTTCAAGCCATGTTGTTATTGTTTAATAATTAAAAAGTGAAAGCCTAAAGATACGATGTGCCAAAGTTGTTGTTTTGAAGTTGGGTGCCATCCTTTTCCGATAGCGGAATCCATTTTAAACCTCTGAAATTATGAAAAAAAAAAAATATCGCGAAGATCTGAATAGGCACATATCACAAAAGATAAACGAATTCGCCTCGTTGGCACTTGTCGGAAGGTACCCCTAGTAATAACCTGTCTCCAAATGCTTTCTCAAAAATGGTTCTGATTAGCAATAATAACATTCAGACTTTTATCATTTTAGAGAAATTAATTGTAAATGCCGAGACTAGGAATGTGTTCGAATAACTTGAATTACTTGCAGAATAAGACATCACGTCTTTACCACATTCAGCGCACGTATACGAGATGTAAAATGTAAAAATAAAAATGTTCTAGAAGTTTAAAATCCAGAAATTTGGCTACCATGGTAACTTGACGTCATACTTCTCCTTTCTATTTAACCCCCTTAATAAGGACACCCCTTTCGTGACAGTCTCTCTATGCCCCCTCAGAGTTCAGAGTGTCCGTATTAACGGGGTTTGACTGAACAAATGTTACAGTGCCTGTTTATGTTTACCATTATAATTACTGCTAGCGCTTTTTCTTCATCTTTTTCATTACGCATAGAGTTGATACTAATCGTTATTTGTGACGGAGTAAACAGTGCGGTCATTCAGTGGTTGGATTGGTCTGTAGTTGTCGCTCATGAGTGGAGGCTTTCTACCATGTTCACCCTTACGTTTCCTGAACTTGTTAAGCTGAAACACCGAAAAATATATCAAGTAAGGAAACGTACGTCCCGTCATCTGGTTTAAGTTAATGGTTTCTAGCACAATTTGAACTAACATTATCGATGTCTATAGCTACGCAACTTAAAAGTAAAGACGCCGGTGTGATAAGAAAATTTAACGTACGATGCATCATAGACTCTTTTAAACCCAGTTTTTGGTAGTGCATTGGCAATAATTTCAATGTATCCTGTAATGGTCTGCATAGTAGCTAACGCAATACATGCCTAGAATTGGCTCCGGTCATCGCTATTGTGACACTGACCGGTCTTAACCAGATTCCGTATCTTAAAGTGATTTTACTTGAACCATGAAACGGATACGAACAAATAATGCAAGAAAGCCAGAGGTAAACGAAAGAAGACAAAAGAGATAGTGCAAAATAGTGCGTAGCATTCTACTACCTTTTACACGGTTCAAGTATAATCACTCTAGTATACTTGTAGAGTGTCATATCCTCTCAGTTGTAAAGCTAAGTTATTCAAGTTAGTGAGCATTACATACCTGGCTGGTAGAGGCAAGAAGGTAGTCTTTAACAACTATCCAGTGTACTGTTTCAAAGCAAGGAGGCGTAGTGAGGGAACCCTCGTAACTGTAGTAACATTTTAAAGTCAAACTTTTGGGATCCTTATTATTGCCGTAGCCATTGCCGCCATTGCCATTACCATTACCATTGCCATTACCGTTGCCATCACCATTGCCATTACCGTTGCCATTGCCATTGCCATTACCACCATTTCCATTACCATTGCCACTACCATTGCCATAACCATTGCCATTGCCATTACCATTGCCATAACCATTGCCATTACCATTGCCATTACCACCATTTCCATTACCATTGCCATTACCATTGCCATTACCATTATCATTACCATTGCCATTACCATTACCATTACCATTGCCATTCCACCATTTCCATTACCATTGCCATAACCATTGCTATTACCATTGCCATTACTGTTGCCATGACCGTTGCCATTACCACTTCCATAACCGTTGCCATTACCATTGCCATAACCGATGCCATTACCATTGCCATTACCGCTGCCATTACCATTGCCATTACCGTTTGAACAATGTTGGGGAATCAGATCCATGAGATAAATTCCATCGGTCTTGTCAACAGTATGAGTTTTGCCTGTAAAATACTTTAATAGGGTGACATTAAATGGTTCCCTTAAACGTTCAAGCAGCTGAGCCCCAAATCGTTCTGCGAGTTAAAGATTTCAGCTGCCTCGAACCTCGTCAGGCGCGCTTTACCGCCGGGATACGTAATCGAGATCGATTGGAGTGATTTTAGTTCCGCGCAAGGGATCATGGGGAAAGCGAAGTTCTAAGCTATGTTAAACGTTGCAAAACTATGCCTTTTATAGTATCCTGCGGAGGAGTGGTCTGCTCCACAGCCGTTCTTTGTATCGTCACGCAACCCTCCTCCCCAAGTGGAGCGTTGCGTGACGAGGACAAAGAACGGCTATGAAGCAGACCAGCAGAGGAGGCTTTTAGTTATTGGTCTCATTTTCTATTAGTAGCTTTGTTAGTCGTAGCTTGCGATCTGATTTTGTGATATTGCTGAGAATTTATACCTCGTCTTAAATCAAACGAGAATTATATTGTTAGCAGGAAGAGGATCGGTGCATCGATCCTCCTACTAAGCTATGTTATTACAATTAAATAGTAGCTGCTTTAGCTTTTTCCGTGTTCTTCGCTTATAGTTTCTTTAAAACACCTACCAGGCTTGATAATGTGGTGCATCAGATTTGCTAAATTTCCAAAAATGATGTTTCCCTTGGAATGTGCCCATAATAATTAAATCATTTAGACTATATTATTCCATTTGCGCGATGACGTCACTTTGCTGATACGATCAGAACCCTCCATGGTTTCAGTTGTTTTTTTTCAAATCAGGGCTTTGGTAATAAGAACCTTGCTGGGATTACCAAATTTATATATGAACAGGTAAAACGAAAGGATTATGGTCGTAGTATCAAAATGACGCCATCTTCCAAAAGGCCTATTACTGGGCTGCCCGGCTAGCCCAGTCATAAAATGGGTTTTCGGTCGTCGGTGTCAAAAAGTGGTCATCCGGGGGAGGGAAAAGACGAGGCTCTGGTACCGAGAAACGATGTTCTCACAAATGGTTTCATATGAGTTTCTCTTGCACGGAGCCTTGCACGGATACTTTTTGTACCTTGTCTGCGCTCCCCCTGAAAAACCCACATGGCGTTGCGAACCTGAAGAAGGTTATTTGCGTTGTTCGAAGCGATTCGACCATGGGAGTAACGCTATAATTTTTTTATTGTACGAGTTTAAGTCAGTTAGATGATGTTGGTGCTGGGAAACTCAGAGAAATGCTCGCCTTGCATTCAAACCGACACGCCGTTCACGGTAGGTTCACACTAAAAGACGGAAAAGATGACTGTGAGCGTCAGGTTTGGAACGCCGTGGCCGCTTCGTGAACTATCGATCGATGTAGTACATGAGCAATTAAGAAGCACAATTTATGAGCAAAGTGTTTCACCAGTTGATGACACTATGGCTGAAGACTTGATTGTAAGTCGTCATAGTCAGTGAAGCGAACAACTCAGTTGCCGATAAATGGCGGATGAATCCTGCTTTGACGCAGCGTGACAACTTTGCCATGTTAGAAGACTGGCTTTTCCTTTAAATATTTCCTTCTATTTAATGCAACACACGCCACTTTGGAGGTCTAAATTTCGGATACTGAGGATAAAGACGGCACGGAGAAAAATAGGAACTCTGAGAATTTCGCACACAAGTATAAAGCGTCTCCGGGACATCCCATCGGGGAGCTTCACAGAGAGCGACCTGAGGAAAATAGGAGCTATTACTGACAAGGTTTGGTGACTGAGTAGAGCATACAAGTGTAGCCCACGTCGAGGTTTCAGGGGGTTTGCTTTTGTTTGTCTCTCTATCTTGCTAAGCTTTTATCATTGAATTTGTACAAGATCTTGTGATCACAATTCTGTGTTTTCGCCCATTCAGCAAGCACACTATATTGATGTCAGTATTAGCGAGTTTCAGAAACATGCCTTTGAAAATTTTCAGCTCTCGTGATGTTTCTTGACATTTCTTTTACCATTTTATGGAGATGTAAACTGAAGTCACCGCAAAATGGAAACTTAAAAAAGCGTAAAATCCATTTATCTCGAAACATAACACACATGACTTATACGACCTTTATTGTCGTAAAGGTGTTTTGAATACGAACGAACACAGTCAACGTGAGGGGCAAAAACAGCATTAATATAAATGAACCATAGGATTTCAACTAATATAAGGGTCAATTATTGTGCATTGAGATGAATCGCTTGAAAAGAGAGACCTCGCTTGAAGATGTGATCAGAAGTAAACAAACGCATAATAGTGCGTCACGTTTAGTCTTTTTAATATCCAAGGAGTCACTGTGAATAGTGTTTCCATATTGTTTAGCTGGCACAAAAACTTCGGACGAGTTATAAAGCGGCATAGTTATCTTCCATGAAGAAAAGTTAGTCTTGGGTGAGACAAACAACTGGAGCGAATTTTTAACTCACATCGGTATCAGGTAAAAAATATGTTATCGATCGTTTCATCTATTTACATTGTTTGAAGTGCGTGCTGGTGAACGCAACATGCGAGCGAGAAATCTTTAAACCTTTTTAGGTCGCAAAATGCAAAGGATTTTATTCCTTTAAGTTAGAGAAAAATACCATGAGGAAAATCTTAAAACTGAATATTTTTCATCTTGTGGAAAAAATAGTGCGTTTTCATGTAGACTGTGGACCGCAAATTAGGATCGCACTTTTCACAAACATGCGAATTCTGAAGTTCAGAACCCAACCGACGATTGCGTTTTGCGCTGCTGTCAATCATCTTAACGGACCTCTTAGGAAACAAAACTTTACTTCACGGGTTCAAAAGGTCATGGTTTGTGATTTGTGGATTTCGATCCGTTTTGTGTGTTTCTCTGTTTCAAGGTTCGTTGCTTGTGATCGTAATTATGATTGACGGCAGCGATAAACACAATTGTGAAGGTGGCTTTTGAACTTTAGAGTTCGCATGTTTGTGAAAAGCGCAGTAAAGTCTCCGTGCAGTCAGTGAGGCCCCTGGATCAGGCGGGATCAATGGGCAGTTAACTATCTGTTTTAGTATACTTCTGGTTTTCATACAATACAATATTTCTGTCTAGTGTAAATCAGCTCAGTCTGTCGCATTTTATGCTCGTAGAAGGACAACAATTTTTGGAATTTCCGGTTACTTCAATTTAGTCACGTTATACTGTCACGCTATATTTTGGGGCACAGAGGGATTGGGGGAGGGGTACGTGGAAATAATGCAAATTGTTTCATGTTTAGAATTAATGGCTAACTTGTTTATTTTTATTCATAATGGTGGAATTTAAAAGTTATTATACAGCCCCCACTTTAAAATGGTACTCTTTTTTTTGGTTACGAAAGTCTTTCAAAAGGGTACAATGTTCTGAATGAGTTTATGTTTCAGTCTCACATGAGATTCTGTTGCGTGCAATGGTTACCGACAAGGTTTTATGGTAGCCTGAGTGTGCATAGCCGCCCCCTCCCCTCAGAAAAAATAGCCCCTTTGCAGCCCAGTTAAAAATCGCCTTTCGGCGATTCTTGTTTTAATTTTAATTTCCATTTCAAGTCACACGCAATCATAGTTAGGTGCAGCCAAGTAGACTTCTCAAGAATTCATTATTTCATTTCATTTTATTTATTTATTCATTTATTTATTTATTTTTACTGGTTTAGAAGCCTTTTTTTCAGAAGGTGGCACAGCTGGTTAAAAATAAGTGAGAGTCTCTGTAGGCGTTACATTTCGGCCTTATTTAATTTAAAGGAAATAAAAAAAAAATTCAGGTAAATAGGTAAGCACTTTCTTATAGCAAACTGCTATGAATTGTTTGACTTTTTTGCCTTTCGCAAAAATTTGGAAAGAACTGCAAATGGTACAGAAGTTTCCCGGAAAAGTTTCCAGAAATTCCGCAAGCTGTTGAATTTCCGGAATGAGAACCATTAAACCGAAAATTCTAGAAATTCCAGGAGCAAAGTTGAATAAAACTTCCGGGAAAAAAAAATTCGAAAACTCGGATATGCCTCGTGAGCTTGTCCTCTTCTTTGGACATTTTGGAAAATGCGGTTCCATTCGCTACTGGAAGTAGCTGAAAACTCAAACCAGACTTTTTGGTTGAATGGAAAGCCCCTAGGATTTTACTTCGTCACGAAGGGAGTAGGGGGAAGGGGGAGAGTGATCTGCAGATTTAAACTGTAATGTTTTTATGGAAGACAATTTTCTGGAAGGATGTAAGACTGCAGGGTGTACCTTAATCCAAAGGGCTACAACAGCTCGTAATATATGTAATTCCCCATGACCAAATACCACGTGAAGCTAGGGAAAAGAGGAGAAGTTTACGGTCATTCCCGATGAGTTGGTTCACGTAGCGAACTAGTAAAGATCAGTAAAGGCACTTGATCGTTTGGTGTCTTAAGACTAAGATGTTGTAAGTCCAACATAAGCTTCTGGTTAGTCTTTTTCAACTTCTGCAAAGTCTTTTTTTTGTTGCCCACCCTGAGAGATCACTCAAGAAAGCATTGCGTCCGCGTGAACTCAGAGGTTATCAATAAGACCAATAACCTTACCAATAACTAATAGCAAATCACAATGAGACGCAGATCGGAACTTGAAGCAAATGCATATGCGGCGTACACCAATATGGGAAGGCAAACCTGCCTGTGAAATCACTCATGTCAACCTCGGTGAAATACTTTTCGATTGCGAGTAATATGGCTCAACACTGAATATCGAAAACGTATATGCATTCTCGTCCTGAGTGATCTTTAATCGATCATTGGAATCGTTTCTCTAAGCAAAGATATCCGGCGGGCCAGGATATGAGAAAACTGAAATGCCGATATGTCAGGTGTAAAAGAAAAAAGGCTAACATCGCTGTCACATTTACCTGGCCAGAAAGTTGTGTTCCATCAAGCTTGTGCTCAGATCCACGATCATAGGTTCAGCCAAAGTGAACATGAAACTGGAGCAATTCGAATGCGTTATCTCCCAGGGGACCTCCAGTTAG